TACCCTAGTTTTGGAGTTAATGATTGTTTCATACTTGTTGCTGAAAAATGAAGGCCGAAAGTGTAAATGCTTTCAGAATTCTTTATTAATTTAAAGTATTCTGTTTCCAATATTGTCTGTAATTGCTTCCTCTGGATAGTAATAGCATTACAATGGTCCAGTTGCGAGCAACATTTTCTTTGGCCAAAGTTACATCTTGTTTGATAAGAGATGAATTCATTAGTTCTAACTTTGCAATAATCAATTATGATTTGCAAATCAGAGCTCTGCGTACCTAATATCTTCTAGGAAAAGATCAAGTTTGAAGCCTTTTGACCTGCAAAGGTCATCTTTAATTGCCACAACCCAAACTGTGAAACTGATTTCTCTTTTGTGTTTTGATGTACTTATATGTGCACGTACTATGGTTACACATTGTGATGCATTTTTTTAACTAATAAGTTTGATGATGTGTGTAACATTCATAATCATTCAACCTTATTTGCAGAGTAATGTTTTATCACCATTTCAGTTATCTTATTTTCTTCTCCCAAGTTTTTCTGTTTACACTAGCCATGTGTTGGCAATGCTATCTTCTGGAAAACAAAAAAACAGTAACTTTGCAGGAATCCCTCCCTTCTGAATAAGTTGAATTGTGCAAATACATAGCAAGTAGTTGAATAATTGCCCTTCACTTTAGGTAGTTGTTGAAGTGCTGATTACCTTCAATCATGCAGCCTGATGGATCACATATAGATTGGAATGGCATCTCGACTGAGACATATGACTTGGCAGTAGAATGTCTGCAGACAAACTACTATGGTGCAAAAAGAATGATTGAAGCATTTCTTCCTCTCCTTTACTTATCTGATTCACCAAGGATCGTAAATGTTTCTTCATCAATGGGAAAGTTAAAGGTACTAAAATCTCAGATTGTGTTCTTTCATACGAAATTTAGGACTCCAAATGAGTGCTGTTTTATACCAAGCTTAGTTGGAAACAGGATACAGATGCGTTGACTAGACCTGGCAAACTAAAATGTCATACTTGCCTAAGTTTGTTGAGACAATGCCAAAGTTGTACCTTGGCCAAACGTGCTGTGTCTTTAAAGATAATCTCTTTCTGTTTCATATTTTCATTTTTCATGTCTTATGGTCAATGGAAAGATGTTTTTGACTCATTTGATCATGTTTCAGCACATACCCAGTGAATGGGCTAAAGGAGTACTAAATGATTTTGGAAACCTTACAGAGGAGAGAGTGGATGAGGTGGTGAATGAATTTCTCAAGGATTTTAAAGAGGGTTCACTTAAAGCAAAAGGTTGGCCTCCATATACGTCAGCATATACAGTTTCAAAGGCTGCTATGAATGCATATACTAGGGTTCTTGCTAAAAAGCACCCAAAGTTTCGTATAAATTGTGTTTGTCCTGGTTTTGTAAAAACAGATGGAAACTTCAATACTGGTCATTTAACTGTTGAAGAAGGTGCTGAAAGTCCAGTAAGACTAGCTCTACTGGCTGATGATGGTTCTTCTGGTATGTTCTTTGTTCGAAATGAAGTTTCTTCTTTTGAATAAAAGTATTGATGGAACACTTGAAAGAGGATGATGTATTATCTTACTATACAACTTATGGAAAAGTATGTACTTTAGCTCATCGGTTTAGAAATAGTGGGTTTGTTTGGATAGTGTATTATTTGAAATATTATTTGGAATAATTACTGTAGCACTTTTTATGATGTGATGTATGTGAGATAATAAGGTGATTGGAAATATAAAAAGGTAGGTTGGGAAATGTGTTTATGATGCAAGCGAAATATTATTTGAGATAATTTGGGTATCCAAATACTATCAGTATCATTTTGCTAAATATTGAAAACTAAGGCCAAGCTAGTGATGGCTACAAATTTTGGTTTTGCTCAAATCCTGAGGTTCAAATGGTTCTTTCATTGCTGACAGATCACTCATCCAAATTGCTTAACCAAGATGACAAAATTTGAGTAAATTGACTGGAATCGGATCCCTTTCCTCTTCCTGGTCCTTTCTATTAAATAAGAATTCATGTACAATCTATTCTTGGTAAACCCCTATATATACTTGATTGATTGACCTAATATACAGCTATTGTAACTGATTTTCTATTCTAGGTAAGAAATATATACAGATTTTAGCCATAATGTCTGTCATAATCTGCCATAATCTTTCCCATAACCTCTGCCATATAATCTGCCATAATCTTTCCCATAATATCTGTCACAATCTTTCCCATAACCTCTGCCACAATCTCTGCCATTGATACCATTGATATCCCCCCTCAAATTGATGCTGGCTGATCAACAAGCATCAATTTGTCAACAAGAAAGTGATGACGATTTTTGGAGAGAGCTTTAGTAAACACATCCGCAATCTGAAGATCAGTGGGGATATGCGGAAGAGAGATGACCTGAGCATCATATGATTCACGAATAGAGTGACAATCCACTTCAATGTGTTTGGTACGCTCGTGAAATACTGGATTAGCCGCAATTTGAATTGCACTAGTGTTGTCGGCATGAAGCGGTGTAGACCCTTTTTGAGGAAACCCAAGCTCACCTAACAATCCACGGAGCCAAACAATTTCAGAGCATGCAGAAGACATAGCACGATACTCAGACTCCGTAGAAGACTTAGACACCCTGTCTTGCTTCTTGTTTTTCCAGGAAACGAGAGAAGTACCAAGGAACATGCACCAACCAGTAACTGAACGTCTAGTATCAAAACAACCAGCCCAATCAGCATCACTATATGCAATCAGGCGAATAGGAGAGTTTGCTGGAAAGAAAAGACCACGAGAAGAAGTGCCTTTCAAATAGTGAACAATGCGGCGAACAGCTGCCAAATGAAGGTGCCGAGGTGCTTGCATAAACTGACTAACTTGTTGAACAACAAAAGAGATATCAGGGCGAGTAATAGTCAGGTAGTTTAGACTACCCACCAGCTGTCGATATAAAGACGGATCAGAGATAAGATCACCTTCATCATGACGATACTTAACATTCACTTCCAAAGAGATATCAACGGATCGACCATCTTGAAGACCAGCCAAAGCAATTAACTCCCGAATGTATTTGTGCTGGGTTAAGAAAATACCGGTGGAACTAGAATATACCTCAAGACCTAAAAAATACTGTAAAGAACCCAGGTCCTTCATATGGAAACAACGTTGAAGATGGTCTTGAAGTTGAGAAATCAATGCATAATCAGTCCCGGTAATAACAATATCATCAACATATACAAGAAGTATGACAATGCCTTTAGATGTCTTGCAAAGAAACAAAGAGGAATCATACTGGCTTTGGACAAAGGAGAAACCAAGAAGTGTGGAACGAAATTTATCAAACCAAGCACGTGGAGCTTGTTTCAAACCATAGAGTGATCGTTTCAACTTACAAACATCACCTGAAGGTGTGGAGAATAACCCTGGTGGTGGAGTCATATAAATGTCTTCTTTCAGATCTCCATGTAAAAAGGCATTCTTAACGTCCATCTGTCGCAGTGACCATCCCTTAGAAGCAGCAATAGCAAGAACAAGTCGTACCGTAGTCATCTTTGCTACAGGAGCAAATGTCTCCTCATAATTGATTCCATATTCCTATCGATTACCAAGGGCCACCAATCTCGCTCTATGTCTATCAAGCGTTCCATCGGACCGTAGTTTAATGGAATAGACCCATTTACAGCCAATGAATTTGACACCAGTAGGACAAGGTACGATGTCCCAAGTATGATTCTCCAAAAGAGCTTGAAGTTCTTCGTCCATAGCTTTTACCCAACATGCATGTTTAGTTGCTTGAGAATAAGAGGAAGGTACTGCAGTGTCAACTAAAGCGGCAGAGAAACCATACCTATCAGGAGGTTTGCTGATACGGGAAGATCGTCGCAGAGTCACAGAATCATCAGAAGTGGTAGGCAGTGGAGCAGGATCGGGAAGGATTTCTACTGATGGAGGTCGTCGACGTTGATAGACAATGCCAGGTCTAAATCGTTGAATTGGTGGAGAGATATCATCAAAGCTAGGAAGAACAACATTGTGGGAAGGAAAAGTGTGCTGCTGAAAATAGTACTCATGCTCAAAGAAAATGACATGTCGAGAGACACGCAAACGATTAGTAACAGCATCATAACATAAGAATCCTTTTTGAGTGGTGCTATATCCCATAAAGGCATACCGAACTGACTGAGCTGCAAGCTTGTGGCGCTCATGAGGTGGTAGGTGAACAAAACAAACACAACCAAATGTGTATAGCATGTGATAATTAGGATGTACACCAAAAAGACGATAATAAGGAGAATCAAAACCCAATTGTTGAGAAGGCAATCGATTAATCAAATACACAGCAGTTGACAAAGCTTCAACCCAAAATCTAGGGGTACAGAAGATTGCAAGAGTAATGTTCGAACCATATCCAACAAATGGCGGTTTTTGCGTTCAGCCACCCCATTTTGTTGAGGGGTATAAGGACATGATCTCTGAGATACAATCCCTTTGCGTTGCAAGTAGGCTTGGAAGTCATGTGACACATATTCCCCACCATTATCAGACCGTAAGATCTTAATACAAGTGGAAAATTGTGTCTCAATGTAAGCCACAAAGGTTTGAAAAACAGTAAACACCTCAGCTTTAGTGCGCAGGAAATATATCCATGTGAACCGACTATAGTCATCAATGAATGTCACAAAGTATTTATACTGCGCATGTGAAATGACAGGAGTAATACCCCAAACATCACTATGTATTATCTCAAAGCATGCACTAGCACAACCAACAGAAGTAGGAAAAGGTAACATCTTACTCTTCCCCAATTTACACACAGAACAATCAAGAGATGATGCATGAGCAAAACCTTGATCTTTAGCACCAAGAAAATCACGCTTTATTAAATCAGATAAAATGACATTATTTGGATGACCCAATCGTCTATGCCAAATTTCAGCCTTATTGTCAACAATCATAGAGGCTAAAGATAAAGTTCTAGGAACAGTAATTTGCAATGGAAATAATCTTCCCACTCTAGGCCCCTTCGCGATTACCTTCCCCGACATCTGGTCCTGCACAAGACAACCACCACGAGAGAAATGTACATCACAATGATTCTCCATTAGCTGTCCAACAGAGATTAAATTATTAGACAACTTAGGAGCAACAAATACATGGCGAAAAGAATGTCCAATATCACCAATAGCTGTAATTGGAAGATTACTACCATTAGCAATCTGAATATTTTGGCAACCAGTATAGGGCCGCAAATTTTGTAAAAAATCAGATGAACCAGTCATATGATTGGTCGCTCCTGAGTCGATAAACCAAGTAGATGAAGCTGGCTTACCTTGACCGTGAAGTCCAAGGGCAGAAAATGCAGTAAGAATCATCTGCTGGACCATTTCTGGGGTCATAACAGTCTGGCTGGTTGTAGATGTAGGACCAATAACAGGAGCATCTGGAACAGTAGCTTGAAAAGCTTGGGCTCGCCTGTTTTCCGGACGTGTAGGACATTCCTTGAGAATATGTCCACTTTGCTTACAGTAACTGCAGAATTTCTTACCACAATTGCGAGCAATATGGCCAAACTCCTTGCAGCTGTAGCACTGCATTTGTCCCTTTCCTCTATTCCTTCCTTGTGCAGCATAAGCAACATTGACAACCTCTGATGTCCCACCATCTGCACTTAGAATTGACTGTGTAGCCAATCTTTGTTCTTCCCGTAACAATTCACCAACACACACATCCAAAGAAGGAACTGGATTTCGATTCAGCAATCCACCCCGAGCAGTCTCAAATTCTGGCCTCAGTTTCATCAAAAACTGATCACGCATGCTAACTTGATGAACTTTTTGAAAGCTTGCTAAGGCCTCCTTAGGTATCTCAAAGTAGATGATATCAGAATATTCACCCCACAGATTTAGAAATGCAGAATAATATTGCTCAATAGAGAGATTACCTTGACTGAACTTACTGATATCAAGTTCAAGCTGAAATCGTCTTGCAGTGTTGTGTTGATGATATATGCGTTTTAGAAAATTCCATATCTCCTTTGCAGTATTAAATGAACGTAAGCTGTTCACCATATGAGGTTCAATGGATGCTAAAATCCATGAAATAATTCGTGAATCATTTGATTCCCATTGACTTATTTCTTTCTCAGTTCCAGAAGCAGTAGAAGACCCATCAATGTGACCCCAAAGCTCCTTCCCTTTCAGAAACATTCTGAATTGAAATTCCCATGTTGCATAATTCTTCCCTGTAAGTCTGATACCCAAAGTCTCTGCAGATTGTCTTCCAAAAGAATTCTCAGCAGCCATCTTTAACAAAACTCAAATGCAAATCCGAAATCATAGATTGATAAACTAAGAAATATCAAAACCAGAATGTTGATTAGAAATCAACCCAAAAAAGCTATAGAAAAAAAATACTCAAAATATCTTATAGATTCAAAAGGTAGGCTCTGATACCATGACAAAATTTGAGTAAATTGACTGGAATCGGATCCCTTTCCTCTTCCTGGTCCTTTCTATTAAATAAGAATTCCTGTACAATCTATTCTTGATAAACCCCTATATATACTTGATTGATTGACCTAATATACAGCTATTGTAACTGATTTTCTATTCTAGGTAGAAATATATACAGATTTTAGCCATAATGTCTGTCATAATCTGCCATAATCTTTCCCATAACCTCTGCCATATAATCTGCCATAATCTTTCCCATAATATCTGCCACAATCTTTCCCATAACCTCTGCCACAATCTCTGCCATTGATACCATTGATACAAGATGCCACTCCATAACAGGTTATATGCTCATAGTCAACGATTATGAGTTCTGAATTCGACTGTACTAGACATCTAAGGGTTTGACACTTGAATCTGACCTAACGGTCTCAGTTCCACTCATCCATGTATGATCTGTACCAGAAATAGCAATATAATAAAAAGTGGGACAGTGAGTGGGATAGGGTGTGGGACAGAAGATCCGTTGCGCTTTCCAGCCCTGTCATTTTCCCGCCAGCGCTGAATTTGATTGTATTGTTCAATACCGCGTAGGCATCTGAAGTTGACTTAACGTTCTCACTTCCAATAGTCCATGCGTCGTAAACATCACTCATCACAACAGCTTCTTCGTCGGTACAACTTGGACTTTGATAATTTTCTTGAATAGTTAAACCCCCTCTGGACATTTTGATGTTTTCCAACTGGATGGAAACTTCCTTCATAGTTGGTCTCCTCCTTCCATCCCAGTCTATGCATCGCTGTGCTAGTTTAGCAACAGCAATGACCTCCCCTTCATTTGTTTGATCTATAATTTGAGGATCAAGAATCGTTGGAAGAGAATTCTCTTCCATGGATGTCAGAAACCTCTGTGCCAATCCTAAATAGACATCTTCTCCTTCTCCTCTGGAAGGTATGGGCTTTTGTCTTGTTAGGAGCTCAAGAAGAACCACCCCAAAGCTATAAACGTCACTTTTGTCAGTAATTTGGCTCGACAGGAAATATTCTGGATCGATGTAGCCGAAAGTCCCTTGGACTCGAGTGGTCATGTGGGTTTTGTCAACTGCAATGGACAATGAAGCTCCAAAGTTTGATACTTTAGCTGTGTATTTTTCATCCAACAATATGTTGGTGGACTTGATATCCCCGTGAAAGACTGGAATTGTAAGCCCCGAGTGTAGGTATGCCAATGCTCCTGCTACGTCTGTGGCTACTTTTAATCTCAAGCTCCAAGTAAAAGGGAAGGATTCAGCCTCATTGTCGTTTTGAATGAGGTTAAATAGGGTTCCATTAGGGATAAATTCATAGACAAGCAGAGGAACTTCTGTCTCCAAGCAACAACCCAGAAGTTTTACCACATTCCTGTGATTAACTTGCGAAACAATGACGAGCTCGTTGATGAACTGCTCCAGTAGGCTTTTGTCGACCTTCGACTTCTTGATTGCCACAATTCTTCCATCGGCTAGGATCCCTTTATATACTGTACCTTGGCCACCTTGACCAACTATTCGACTTTCGCTGAATCCATCAGTGGCCGCCTCCAATTCCCTAGAAATGAAAATTCTAGTTTTTTCAATAGCACCATCTGCAGCAGATAATTGTTTCTCCAATAGAAGACCTCCATTTCCAGTGGCGGAGCTAGGAATTAACTTTGGGGGGCGAGTCTATAGCAATGAAAGTAAAATATATTTACAAAAAAAAAATAATGTGAACATATATACCACAATATTAGAAACAACCTTATATAGAATGAAAATTACTTATACGCTTCACATAAATAAAAATATCATCATATTTACAAATCTATTTGACTGTGTGGGACATATGAAATTGTGCACGACGACTTTTAATTTTATCAAAGTCATCAATGATTGAATTTACATCAAAAGTTCTAGCAATTTCTTTCTCAATATACATTATCATAGAGTTGGCAAGAAAATCTTCCTCCATCCTAGAACGCAAACAAGTCTTGATGATTTTCATAGCAGAAAATGCACGCTCTGTTGTAGCTGTTGAAACAGGAAGAGTCAAAATAAGACGAATCAATCTATCAATAAGAGTATAGCACATTGACTTTTTTGTCTTCGCTAACACTTGGCACAACTCCTGAAGTGATGACAAATTTTGAAGCTGAGAATTACAGGAAAACTCAATCTGGAAAAGCTCTAATTGAGTTCTTAAGTGTAACTTCTCTTGATCTGTGAAGTCAGCTGAATAAAACTTGTTTGCAAGTTGACAAATTTGTTCAATATTGAAAGCCTGAAAATTATCTTTGGGGTGCAATGCTGAACTAAGAATAAGCAACTCTATTACATCTTCCTTAAACCTATTCTTCATTTCAAGTATTTGAGAATCAACCGTTGCCAAAAACACATCAATCCTGTAGTGATGCTCCATGGTAATTGGATCATTTTGTTTTCGAATTCTTCCTCGACCTGCTTTATAAATGACATTCATATCAGGTACAATTTATTGGAACTATTTGTCTCCTTGCTGAAATTGTGCTCATGATCATAGGGATGATTGATCATGCATGTCTACATATAGGGACACACTAGTCATGGACCTCAGAAGAAGTTTATGTTGGGCATGAACTTGTATACCAGGTTTATGTCTGGTACTATACTACAGAGTAAAACTTTTGCAAATATGTGCATGCAGTCAAAATACCATATTTTATCCATGTGTACTGGCACGCAAGCTTGAGTGCAGGGAGATGTATCAGAACCTGTTGTAGTCGTCCTTTAAGTATACCACTTCTTGCTGTACCTCTTGCAGGGAGATGTGTACTGGCTTCTTGCTTCTTGTTTAAGTGTACCACTTTTAACTACGTTGAAACTGTATCAAACAAGAAATCCCTTCTCTACTACACAGAAGTATCAAACTAGACTCTTTCCCTGGAAACTAAATACATGCAGTTAAATAGCCTAGTTCAGACGTATTAATCCAAGTCATATTTAGTACTACGCATGCCCTGGTTCTATGTTTATAGCATTAGGAATTTTGGTCCCTGATCAATTTGAAGAGTGCAGATCTATGACTTGTTTTCAGTGATGTATTTGTTTCATATTAGTTAATGTTATCTTTCTTTTTTGTTTTTTAGCTGAAAGGATTTCCCCAAATTTTCTAGCTACTTGTCATTGAGGCACATGACATATAAATGCAACTTCTAGTAAATACAAGTCTATGGTACGCCACTATTTTCAGGCAACTTAAGCACACTGTGGTTTCTTCGAGACATCTTAGTTCTTTTCCCTTTAACTTCATAGCCAAATGCTTCTTGTGTTTTCTTTTCATGAAAATAGCACCATTTAACTTATAGTTCATCTGCCCTCGGGATTCTTGCTGTTCTGCTTTTTTATGTTTTTTTGGAACTCCATTTTTCCTTTATTATTGTTCATAAACCTTTTCTAGGGAAGTATGGTAGTGTGCCCTTTGTAAGGGGCTTTACGATGATGAATAATCTTAGCGGTCTATATGCTCTTTCCCATGTGTTTGAGCTATTAGCCCATTACGCTATCTGTCAAAGCGACATTTAGTTGTGCAAGGTGCTGTTAATAGTTTTGCTACGAACTTTTCTTACATCCATAAGACAACTCAAAAGCATGTCTCATTGAAACTAGAGAAGTTAACTGAAGATCATTGATGAATGCAACTCTATTCACGGTCTTGGTCCAGTTTGCTAGTGTGCTTTGTTATTAGGAATTGTTGATATCAACATAGAGCAGGTATGGACAATTGCCTGGCAAGTTACTTTGGTATTTTTATGACTATCACTTCTGTATAACAACTTTTACAGCCTGATCGTTACTCATGAATCAGGGGTCTCTACACGCGCAGCAGAAAGGAAAAAGTTTTCTCTATTTAACTAGTAACTGCACTTGTATTACGCAGTCTGTTGCTTAAGAACTTTTCACAAGTGACTCGTGATGCTTCCTTTTGTGTGATGGGTTTCTGTTTTCATGCTCCTGTTCACAACATCATGTATAATTTGCCAGTTTGTTTCTTAAAACTCTGGAGAACTGCTCGCCTCAGAGATACGATATCTTATTGGCTAAATCGGAATAGCTTGATATATTCCAATTTGCCTGGCAGGATTTTGTGCATTATTCCACTCTTTTATATTCTTGAAATTAGCTGTTTCTCTTTACTGACAATTCAATGAAAAACTTGCTTGTGCTCTCATGTGATGATTTGTACCTAGTTTTTCTTCTGCAACATTGCCATGTGGACATATTCGGAATGATGAACATGTATGTTGTAAGACATTAATATTCTTCTGTCTAGTCACTTGTGCGCATCAGAAGAATATTCTTGATCATGATTTGTAGTTGAACAATCCTGTTTCCTTTGGTTCTTTCTGATTGCAAGCAAAGTTACATGGCTTTCTTGGAGATGTTATTCTACTGCTTGTCTTTGTATTTCATGAATAAACTACTGCAGGATGCAATTTCTTGTTTGAGATGCTACTCCATTCTAATTCATATTACCAGAACAGTTACTTCCATTCTCCTTATTTTGGATCTATGCTACCCTGGACCTGGGCTCTGGGAGTCCTGAACGCACAGCTACTCTAGTACAAAATGAAGAGCTCCAAGAAAAGCAGCTTAATTTGTTTCCTATCTCAGGAATTTGCCAAAACAAACCAAACCTGATGGTTTACGCCTTTCTGAAGATTGCTTAGTTGAAACTTCATATCAAGATAGTCCCACTCTCCACAGAAATCAGGCCTCAGGAAGGGTCCAATCACAAATTAACTTATTGGAGAACAAATTAGACTTATAAATAAAAAGTAAAACCAGTTATCCAATTTGTTGTCCATTGAAGGCGATGCATCTTTTGTTACTTTAGTTATAGGTCTGAATGTTGATGATGTAATGGTTATCTTGAGTAAACTATATTATACATAAAGGGCGAGCATTGGGTTTGGTACAAACTTTTTTTTGTCACTTTTTAGATTTTCAACTTTATCCTCACAATCACGAAATTATACATTTATCATCTAATGACATGTTGTCCATATTATCAATCAATGTAATCACAACTAATTGTCACTCATAACGACTCACAAACATTGTAACTGCCAGGTTAATTAAAATTTTATTCAAAAACCTTTTAAAAGATCAAAAAAAAAAAATTTTTGCTTATGAAAAGTTTTACACTAAATTCTTCCGTATAAAAAGTGATTGTTCCTAAATTACTCATCACTAGCATGAATAATGTCTCTATAAGATGGGTGCTGAACTAACCAAACGATATTAGGTATATCCTCTGGCGTTTCATGCCAAGGCTAGCAATCTGGTTAAGACCCTATAGAACTCACCTCTTAATTTTGTCAAGCAAGTTGTGTTGGACTTGGACGATTTCCACTGAGTTTCATAATAAAAATTTTCTTCTTTGTGCCAATCAAAAAAACAAGAGAGGTATTATTCCAAAGCAAAATCAATTTTTTATTTTGTACAGAATCTCCCAATCTACCTAGTTACAGCTCCACATGGGCTTCAATCACTGCCTGTTGTTGTCCATTAAATTGGCTTTGGACTCACAAAAGAGTAAAAGATTAAAAACTAACACAAAAAATCAATGACACTCTTTTAAAAGCGTATCAATTTTCTGTAAAAGAAACTCGACTCGTCTCAATCAAAATTAGTTATGGATCATAACATGAACACGCAAGTTTCTTCAAAATGATTGCAAAAATCTCTACTAATATAATGTAACAAACATTTTATAAATAGTCATCATCTCATCGAGGGATATACTAGAGGAGTTTGCTTTTCTCGGATGATTGTAACTAACTTTGTTTAATTTAATGCATTTCATTATTTTACCAAAAGAAAAAAAAACTAATCGTGGGACCAGTAGAAGGTTGGAGAAGAGTTCGAATTTGTGTTGAGTGAATAAATGTCTTTATTTCATCAAAGGGTAATTTAGTCTCAGTATTTGAGATTATCCACATTAATCTCATCGGTATTTAAGAAATCCTTTCGCTGGTCTACATCTGACGTCAATGAGGACGTTGAAGAATGGAAGGATAGGGACTGCCAACTCGACAGCCAACATGTCGAGTTTACCATCTGAAAGAAAAAAAAAAAAAGGAAATGTCAAACGTCCAATCATCAGCATTGAAACAAGCAGCCCTTCAAGGACTACAGCTACTTTTCCATTTAAGCATCCTCATTTGTACCACGTTTTCCCTAAGTTTGTACTAAAAGATTATCTGAACTCACTGCAGTTAAGTGCAATCATGATTCATCAGTAAGACAGCAATTGCAGTTTCTCATTTATACTTTTCTAGGATGCCCCTTCTTTCACACACACACACAAAAGGATGCTCCTCTGTCAATTGGTACGATTTCCTGCATATTGAAGTCAACCAAAACCGTTAATTTAACTACACCATTTTTTTTTTAACTGTACTCCTACTCTAATCTATAGTATTTACTCCTATTTTAAGGTAGGTTAGAAAATAATCCAACTGAATTAAGAGGAGTTAGAGGGAGAGGATCCTACCTCTAAACTAAATAAGTGCACTATTGTACACTTTTGAATTTTAATACAGGTACAGAAATTTGAATCCCCGATCTACAACCAAACTTGCATCTTATAGATGCCAACTTATAATGGTTGAAAAAGATGCTTAAATCAGATTTATTAGCTTGAAATTAGATCTGCCACAAAAATTCCTCCAAGAACCCCAACAAAATCCCTCCTCTCTCTCTCTCTCTCTCTCTCTTCAGAAAAAGGAAAAGCATCGTCTTAGGATTTAAAAATGTTCAAAGGATAGAGTGCATGGCACGAATGGTCTTTACATCCTGTTCTAGCTACTAAACATTTTTTCCCCTTAAATAAAACGGTCACTTAACTGATGTGACAATTTTCGATCCAAAAATCTACTTCTACTTCTAAAGATACAAAATGTTGTGATAAAAAAAAATGTTATCTTTATTTGTATTATTTTCTTAGATCTGTTATATCTATTGATTTCAAATTTATATGTATCTGTGTCATGTTTGTTTAATATATTTTCTGTCATTAATGCAGATTTATTTGAATGAAATGATCTTTTCCATCAATCAAAAAAATGTTGTGATCAGAACAGGAATCTTGAATAGTTTAGTTACCATTTACATCACGTAAATTATACGAGAAAAGGTTATCCAACTAGGATGGAACAAGCCAGCCAAGAAAAATAATCAAACAAAAATTGACAAGAACGATAAAAGAAAAAAGCAAATTGTTAAAAAAGACAAAAAAAGAAAAGAAAAAAAGAGGATTAATGTAATGGCTTCATTAAAAGTACACCAACAAAACCATTGGACGACTCCAGTCATGTACTCCTATTAATGAGAAAAGAATAAATAACGTAATCGTACTATAGAAAATTCGTCTGCTGC